CCCTTGTAAGCCCTGCTGTGAGAACCAATAAGTCCACATACATTGTGGTAGGACGTGAGGCCGGATAGCATATGACCTCCAAGCAGGAGGTTCCAGGTCCCTGGATATCCCCTTGGAAGTAGGTGCAGCTTGGTAGCGAACTAATATACAACAGAGATGGTGAGAATAAGCTGTGTAACTCACTCTTTATGCTATGAGGACATAATAGTTTCTGTGGCAACCGAGTACGGGTTAAGACCCTGGTGATGCTTACAACCATGTAAATTGGGAAAGTTGGTTGGATGGTGGTCGCCCGGTGGGGTCTATCATTCTCCCCTTTTTTCACCAGCCATAGGTCCCATGCGTGTGTTTCTGTGCTGTTGCTGGGGAATGCTACTATGGCCCGATGAAGAGTCCAGAATGGGATCCAGGGGGACATTCAGGTCTCCTCCTAATATCAGAAAGCCCGCTGTGAAATGTTTCAGTTTAGTCAGCGTTCTTCACAGGAACAATCACCGCAGACTCCACAACCGTCGTAGCTTAACTGGAGTCTCGCCGTCTTCTGTCCACCCTGGATCAGCTTCTGTCCTTCAGGACCGTGTGGGGAAGACCTCTCCTCCAGGAGAGCATATCAGGAACCAGCTCTTAAAAGAGCTAAGTGAGTAAAGCTCAAGGGAGTATGCAGGGCATAGCAATCCCCAGTGTGAATATAGCTGTCCCCTCCAATCACACATACAGCCTCTTTTATTCACAGTCTACAAACATAGTACTGCCCACAGGGTTTTGAAGAACAACCAATCAACACATTACAACACTGCCAACACTCCCAGTCATTACATCAGAAATCCTCCCCTCTGCCTGTGATACAATTATCTCAACACAATAGACTAACTTAATTATCACATACAGGAAAATACTGTATAATAAAACATATCACAGGGACCCCAAAACATGCAATAACCCCATAAATATATCATCGGAACCGGGGGATCTGGGTGAACCACATATCCCAAATTCACCCAGATCCGTTCAGTAGTTTGGAAGATACAGTTTAATGCAGACTCCGCAGAACATATACAGGCTATATGAAAAATTAATTACTGTTAAATTTGTCCCCTGTTCTGTAGTTTAAAACTACTGAACGATGTCTTTGTGCACCAAATACCGTCGCGATGGCACAGTGTAGAAAAGTCAAAACCGTGTCTGAGTTAAAACGGCCACCATCCATTGTTCTCAGCATGTGCCTCTGATACATGAAATGGTGGCCACCCAGTAACTCCAGTTTGTCTGGTAGTCTATCCAGCCGAACCAACAGATGAAACATGGGGAACAGTGCAACAAATGAAGGGAATCATAAAACATATGGACAATAGTCATATTTGTGCACAATCTCTACTTTTGTCACAGGGCACAAATAGTGTTTTCAAAAGAAAAAATATCCCAGGGCCATAGTCAGAAGGTAGGAGGCGGGCAAGCAGCCCCCTCCAAGAACACATGGCGAGGTCTGTTCCGCCACACCCTCTTTTTTTGTGTTTCTTTTGGCATTACCTACCATTCCTGTATAACTGCCTACCTTTCCCCCCTTTCTCTCGTATGTCCTCTGATCCTTTTCCTCCCACCCTAGCTCCTCCATCCTGCCCTCCCCTCCCTTCTAGAGGATTTATCTGCAGTTTCATGATGTAATACATGGGTCCCTATGTCCCTCACCCCTTCCCCTGTTAACCTCCTGTTACCCCCCTGTTTTCCAGTGTTTGATTACTACCTTGCCTTTTTCATTCCCCTGCCTCTCCCTCCCCAATAGCATGTGTGCACCATCCTGATACTCCCTCATGTCCCCTTTGTTGTCTCATCTTGAAGTCAGGGCTCAATTGCTATTAACCGCTCCTTCCCCCACAGTGAGTTCTGTTATGGGCTTCTCCAGTCCCATTATCTAAGCTTCCGTGAGCCTCCTTGGGGTCTCTACAGTAACACGTGCTGGAGGCAGTATCCCTTTCTCTCTCCCTATTGTCAGCTTGTGGACTGATGAATTCCCTCGCTCATCGGTACTATGATATGATTCTTTGTACTGGCGATCCAGGATGTGTTGTAAGGGGATATCACAACATTCATACAAAGAAACTAGTCCTGAGCTCAAACTCCCATTACTCCTGGGTGGCAGCAATGACTATAGTACACATCAGCCAAAATACATATAGTAAAAACCAAAGAAAAGTTACCTGCGCTCTTTCCACATCCCTATGGATTTTTAAACAAATGGAGGTTTTTAGTTACCTCCAATGGCCATGAGAGGGTATGCCCACCTGCCACATCAAGGCAGACCTCCTAGGTGGGTCCTAACCCTAACCATTCGCCTTGCTTCCTTACCATAAATGGCCTCAGTACCCAATTCACTACGTAAGGCGGTGGGAGTTGCAGCCTGCTCAGGAAGTTTGGGACATCTTCCGGCCATTTGATTGTCAGCCATCCATTCTGATGTTGGGGCTAGTGACTGAATGGAAGGCCCCATTTGTAGGGTATGTGGCGTTCCAGGAGCATGGATGTCACTGGACGTAGCGCTCTTTGGGCCTCCAGCGTGAGTGGTGAGAGGTCATTAAAGAGAGCTAACTGTGCTTTCTGGAAATTGCACGTCCTGTTACTTCGTGCGGCCTTCATGATGGCTTCTTTCAAGCGGAATGAGCTGAGTCTGCAAATGATGTCCATGGGCGTTGTGGTATCCAATCTCGGGTGCGAAGCACGATACGCTTTACAGCCCCCTGTTTTCCATTACCCCGCCTCTCCCTTCCCAATAGCATGTGTGCACCATCCTGATACTCCCTCCTGTCCCCTTTGTTGTGTCTCATGTGTCTGTCACCACCTTGAAGTCAGGGCTCAATTGCTATTAATCGCTCCTTCCCCCACGGTGAGTTCTGTTATGGGCCCCTCCAGTCCCATTATCTGAGGTTCCGTGAGCCTCCCTGGGGTCTCTACGGCAATGTGTGCTGGGGGCGTTATCCCTTTCTCTCTCCCTATTGTCAGCTTGTGGATTAATTCCCTCGCTCGTCGGAAATATGGTATGATTTGCTTGAGGAGCGGAGCTTATGCTGCCATCCAGTTCGGCATCCAGGCCACGCCCCCAAGAAGTAAGTTTTTAATGAGTGTTTTTTGTTTTTTTAGGAGTGGAGACTGGGTGAGGCTCTAACGGAGAAGGGAAGGGAGTTCAACAAGAACTGGGTGAGGCTCTAACGGAGAAGGGAAGGGAGTTCAACAAGAACAGTGCAGCTCTAGAGAAGTCTGGAAGGCAGCGATCATAGGTGGTAGTACGAACAGAGGATGGACGTAGGTCTTCGGCAGAGCGAAGGGGCCCTAGAAGGGACATATTTGTGTATTAGGGAGGATAGATAAGGGGAAGCTGCATTATGTAGATTTAAAGGCAAGAACCAGGATTTTAAATTAAGCCAATGCATGGACTGACTGGGGGGGGGAGGGGCGCGAGAGATGCAGGCAGACAGGCCTCGCCGCCGCATTCATTATAGACTGTAAAGGAATATTTATATTATGTTAAACTACACTTTGAACTGCAACAAAATAACCAAACAAGGCTGTCTGTAGTTAGATCAGTAACAATGTACAGAGCACTGAGTAGTGACACAAATATGTGTCAATGATGTATCACTAGTCAATGCTTGCCAATCATTTTACTCAGCAACTGCATACAGCAATGACTATATTCATTTCCACTAATAAATGCAGATGGTAAAATAATCTGCACAATAAAATCACGAAGAGTTACATTCCAGTTAAGAGGTACATACTTAAAGTGCCTTAACCTTTAATATAGATTGCCCAAACCAAATTTAAACCCCCCTGAAAAATTCCAATCAATAATTAAGTCCTTATATATTTCCATATGTGGAGGTCTTTTAGCCAAGATTCAATATGGCGTAGCAGTATAAATAGGCAACGCAGACAAGCAGCAGGCCAGTAAAGACTAGGAAAGGAGTATAAGGTGCAAATGGCTAAAGCACCGCAGGGGATCTTATTTCAATAGTGCTATAAGGAATCCCTTACACAATATTACATGTCTCATTACAATAGACGAGAGATACAGGAACTATGTAGATGTTATACTATTCGGTAAAATACAAATGTATCAATTAGAACTCGAGCTCTCTCAAAATCACTAAAAACAATTAAGATCCCAGACCTTCCTCTCTTGTTGTAAAACCATAATTGACATCTCTAACAAACCTAGTCCAATTGTTTGAATCATTTCCAAACAAGACAGGCTTGTTCCTGAATGCCACTGATGATACTGCTAATCAACTGAAACAAAACAGCCTTGAGGCACCCATTACTAACTTTTACCTCCTTTAAATGTAATCCACATTTGACAGTCATTCATCATTTAAGTCAACACATTGTCTATTCAAATACGGTGACAAATTGGTCTTGACAATATCTTTGTTTACTAATAAATTGTCAAATACTTTCCTAGCATTGTACAAACTACATTTACTGTGGTTTCATCACATGCTATTTAGTTTTACAGAAAAAGAAACAAATATAACATTCAGAATTATCATGTAATAGGTTTTATCTAAAGCAAAAGACAAAAGTACTCTTTCTACAAAAACTAAACTAAGGCCTTAATTACAATCCAGCCGATAATATTTATCAACAGTTTATGTGCTCCAAATAAGCCTGTTATCGGTTCAAATCAATTTAAAAGGACTCTCCGGACCTCTAAAACATTTTAGCTTGCTAAAAAAAGCTTTATTTGTGGAATGTGTCCTCTTTTTTTTTTTTCCATTTTGCAAAAAGGAATACCTAACACAATATTACATGTTTCATTACAGTAGAAGAGAGATTCAATAGAAATTGACACTTTTATAAATTATACTGATTACACACCCCTCCCCCGGCTTTCAAGGAGACAACAACAAGTTCTGTTACTTCCTGGTTTGGTTAGTTTATTTGCACTGAACTTAAAAGGCAGCAATTGCCCAGACCACCTGACTTGCAAAGACTTCTTATTAAGCTTCATTGGGAAGTCTGATTGGATAGCCACAGAAAGTCTGGGCTGGGAAAGTAGGGGAAGATTTGCTAAGGCAGTAGAGGAGAGAATTTTTGCAAGCTGTTTATAGATGTATTCCTGATGAAAAATGCATAATGAAATGCATGAATTTTTTTTTTTATGGGGTATATCAATTAAACTGATTTGTATTTATTTTGTATTTGGGCAGTGGAGTGTCCCTTTAGCTGGAGCCAATAACTATCACTTTGAATAATATAGATTTTTGAAATAATTTCTATATTTAATTGTAGCTCCCCAATCCGCACCCATTGGTGGGGCTTGGAGGTAGAATAGATCCCCACTCCCCCAATTTATTATTATTAGATACCACACCCACTGCCCATTGCTGTGAACTGTGTGAGAAAATAGATTCCCCCCTCCCCCCCCATTTATTATAGCCTATGTCCGCTGACCACAAATGGGGTCAGTAGGGACACTAAGTCTTTGCTTATTTTACAGCTTCCACCCCTCGACAGGAAGGAAAGTAGGTCCGCATGCCTAATTTAGTATTGTGGCCTTTACCAACTGACCAAGGGTGGAGGCATGAGGTGGAAACTGTGACATATGTAATCCAGGGCCGGACTGGGAAAAACAATTTGGTCAGGGCATTTTTAATTACAGCAGCCCACTTAGAAGGGCAGGGCCAGAGAGGGGGTGTTTTGTCATCACCAAAAGTGAGCATGTTGTGTGTGTGTGTATAGGTGATATAGGTTGTGTGTAGGTGTTGTAGAGAGTGTAACATGTATTTGCTGACAGAAGCTCTAGTGTATGCATAGGGGATCCAGAGTGTATATCAGGAATGTGGTGCAATGTGTCTATAGGGGATCTATTGTATGTAGAGAGGATCTAGTGTGTTTGGAGGACCCAAAGTGTGTATAGGAGATCTAGTGTGTGTGTGTGTTTAGAGAATTCAGAATATGTAAAGGGGATCTAGTGTGTATGTGTAGATAATCCAGAGTTGTGCAACTAGTGTGTGTCTGAAATGCAATGTGTGTAGGGATGCACTGTGTGTAAGGAGTGCAGTGTGTTAGAGGGGCTGCACTGTGAGTGAGGGGTTGCAATATGTGTGTGAAGGGTGCAGTGTGCGAATATGTTTGGAAGTATTGTGTGTGTGTGTAGCATATTATTTCAAATATTATTATACATGTATTTTCTTTTGTTTTTAATAAAAAATTAAAATTAAACATTGTACTCCTCCCTCATTTCTTACCTTTGACCAGGGAAGGGGGAAACTGCTTGTAAAGCCCTGGTGGTCCTAGTGGGGAGTGAACTCTGGAAGCTGCTGGGGCTTGAGTTAACTCTCGCGAGATCTGAGCATTGCCATGGTAACCGTGGCAACACTCCAACCTCACAAGAGAAGGACCTGGCAGAACTGCGAGGTAGAGTGTCAGGATTACTGTTTGATCCAGCACGTAGAACTGTACAGCACGGATGACAAATAAGTAACGTATTACCGGTCCTTAGAATGGCCGGATTTAACGTACAAAGAATAGTCAAAAATACTAGCCGAGGTCAGGGAACACAGAAAGGGACACAGCGATGAGGAAAGCCAGGAGTCAGGATACCAGAATATAGAGAAGTCAATAAACAAAGCCAAAGTCAAAACCAGGTAGAAAACTATAAACAGGAACGCGCTCTCAGACAACCACAAGGGAAACCACGACAGGGCACTGAGCAGGCTGAGAACTGGGCCTAAATACCCCTCCTTTAGTTCTGATAGGCTGTAACCGGCCTTTGACCCCAAAGTCAGTTACCAGGTTTCATTTGCATAATTGCTGCTCAGCATTAACCCTTCTGTGGATTAGGTTGCTGCTCGGCACAACTTTTCCTGTGTGGACAGTAAATGTCATTAATCACTTTTCTCTAAGCGGATGAATACATGACACCAGGTTTCATTTGCACAATTACTGCTCAGCATTAACCCTTCTGTGGATTAGGTTGCTGCTCGGTACAACTTTTCCTGTGTGGACAGTAAATGTCATTAACCACATTTGTATAAGTGGATGAATATGTGACATAGAGCTCCCGGGTCCTCTCCTCTCTCCCTTGCTGCCTGCCACATTTTACTGCCTGTGGACTCATGAGGGAGATTTTGATCTCCTCAATGACTTATCATGGTACACAGCAGGGCTGGGATTTGGATGGTGCTGGCCCTGCATGGGCTGACAGGGAAGAGTGTCCTTTTAGTGTGGCCAGCCTAAGGCACACCTGTGCAATAATCATGCTGTCTAATTAGCATCTTGATATGCCACACCTGTGAGGTGGATGGATTATCTCAGCAAAGGAGAAGTGCTCACTAACAGATTTAGACAGATTTGTGAACAATATTTGAGAGAGAGGCCTTTTGTGTAGAAAAAGTGTTAGATCTATGAGTTCAGCTCATGAAAAATGGTGGCAAAAACAAGTGTTGCGTTTATTATTTTGTTGAGTGTATGTATTTAATTATTCCTTCCAACAGAGTTAACAACTGAGCAATATAACCATGATTTATGTAGCATATAGAAGTTATTTAAAGCCACTATTTTGGTTAGTTTTTAGAGGTTAATATGTAACAAAGTATGAATGCACCGTTTAGAGAAGAAACAGAAAAGGATGATCATCATATAGGTCACCAGTTTGGGACCCCCTTTTATCCACACAGTGCATCCCAAGCAAATACACTGTTCAGGGGCTGCCCAAGATGCCTTATGGTTAAATGGCTTCTATAGTGCCAGGAAAACAAACCCGTTTTCCCTTCACTATAGACTCCTGCAGTGCCCCCTCCCTCGTGCTCGTTCCCCCCCCCACATGGTGCTGAAGGGATTAAAACCCCTTCAGTCACTTACCACTTAATCTCAATCCATGCTCCTCCCCCACCGGGCGGGGAAACCCTAATGCGCGTGCGCGGCAGTGGCCGCGCGCGCATTAGGATTTCTCCATAGGAAAGCATTATTCAATGCTTTCCTGTGGGGAAAAATCTGGCGCTGGAGGTCCTCATGCAGAGCGTGAGGACATCCAGCGTCAGATAACAGACCGAAGGCCCTTTTCAATTTTGGAAGTCCTGCCACTAGCGGAGGAGTTAACCCTTGGAAACTGCAATGATTACCACTGTAGGGTTAAGGGACATGGAACAATGCACCCAGACCACATGAGCTGAAGTGGTGTGTGTCCCTTTAATCCTGCTTTGAAAGGTAATATAAAAGCTTTTACTTAGTTGTACATAACTTGAATCAATGAATATCATTAGAAAAAACAGATTTCAAATGAACTCTACAGTCACTCGATCTGAAAAGTTACATCTCCATGGTATATCTTGGTGCAAATGTGAATTTATAAGTAAATTGTAAAGGGTTTCCAATATTATAAAGCATATAAGATACACAAGCACTGTAGAAAAGAGATCAATAATGACAGCCTACGACCAGGGGTAGGTTCCCAAATCTTTTCACATGATTTCAACCTCAACATGTTTTAGCTTGCTCATATTATCTCTTTTATCCATTACTTATGTAATATGAAACAATGTTTTACATCGCCAAATAATTTTCTGCAGAAAAAAAACATAAAATCTTGTAGTAGCATCTGGGTAACCTGACCGGTCACCACTGCGAATTCCCTTTCTTCAGCCGGTCAGCAAACACTTAAACTACACGAGACCCATTTTCCCCCAGTAACTGGATAATACCTAGTTCTGGAGGTACAACACAATTTTATTGGCCATACATGGTTTTTATGCAGACCCCGTGCAAAGGGTGGATTGCACACATATAGACACACATCCTACAATCTTCCCCCTCCCGAGGTCCCAGTGCGGGAAGGGACTCTGTTCTCTTTGTCCCCAAAGCACACCATTACATTTTTAGGCTTCCCCACACCAACTGCCAGGGGTCTTCTTCCTAAGAGTCTCTGTGCCTGGGAGTCTAAACGCAGGAAAAAGGGACTGTTCCTTTGTCTTCCAGGCACAGAAAAGCCCGCCCGCGGGAAAAGAGCTGTGCCTCAGGCTCATGAGAGCCTGCTAAAACTCGTCATTCCCCCAGAAGTGCCCACTCCAATCTCTGGGATCCTCGCCTCGGTCCCTCGACCGGCTAATCTCTGCTAGCGAGGTCCTGGTGTGAAACCCAGACAAGGGAAGTGTCTCCTTTCGGGGTACGAATGCTCCCCCTGGATGGCGTTCATATATACGAAATGGCGGCCACCCAGGGGAGCACTCATTAATTACTTCCCTTGTGGTTTTAACACTCTGGTTGCAAGTGAGAAAGTTGTGATTAATTGGTGCGAACATTCTAATGGTGAGGTCCTCATTCGGGAAATGAATGAGTCGGGAAACAATCCACAAACGCTCCCCCCAGGCTGGTGTTCAGCTGTACAAATGGCGGCCGTCCAGGGAAGCGCTCATTAATTTTTACCCTTGCAGTTTGATGCTTATGTTGCTAAATGTGTAGGTTCTAACCTAACATTCTAAATGGGGGTATCGGGGTGGTCTGCCCATAGATGTAAGGCCGCAGCTTCTTGAGGGTCCACACCACCACCAGACACTCCTTCTCGATGGCAGCGTAGCTCACCTCCCAGGGTTGTAGTGTCCTGGTGATGTAAGATACCAGGTGGTCTCTGCCATCATTCCCGACCTGGCTCAGCACTGCTCCTAATCCAAACATAGAAGCATCTGTATGAATGAGAACTTTTTTTTCGCATTAGGAGCAGCCAGAACAGGGGCATTTACTATGGCATCCTTAAGGGCTTGGAATGCCCGCTCATACCCCGGGGTCTAGTTTACCAGTTTTTATTCTTTTGGGTAAGGTCTGTGGGGGGTTTGGCTATGGTACTGTAATTCTGGACAAATTTTCTAAAGTAGCCAGCATGCCCCAGCCGTATTTCAGAACTTCATTAAAGATGTGCTAAGGGATTATATTTACTTTTTTGCCCTTGTTATACCTTGATGATATCCTCGTTTACTCCCTCGACCTAGGAAGGCCATCACCTGGGTCAGCTAGTGACAGCCTCTCTTAGCTGGTTCGGGTTTCTGCTTTCCACACCCTACCCTGTGTCCTATATACTGAACCTCTGCCATCCCTATGTTACATTTGCTGGGTTTCAAGGTCAACCCAGCCTCCCTAATCCTGTCCAGCACTGCTCCTATATGCACTAAATTCCCCTCCCAGATGTCGCTGTAGATGGTGATGTTGTCCAGCTATGTGCAGGCATAATCCTGGAGGCCATCCAACAGCCGGTCTAACCAGTGTTACCTGACAAGGTCTAGGGATCAAATCACCCGCTGTCTGAACATTAGTTCAAACTGAGAGAATCCTGTACATTCCTGGGGCACCTCCCAATAAGTGAACAGGAGATGCATCAGGAATCTCTCCCAATCCTTGCGAGACTCTGCAAAAGCACGGAGCATCTGCTTCAACATGCCATTGAAGCGCTTGCACAGGCCACTGGTCTGGGAGTGATATGAGGAGCTCAGGATCGGTTTAATGCTGCATAACCTCCACAGTTGATTAGCCATCTCAGCAGTAAACTGAGTGCCCTGATCCGAGACGATCTCCCCGGAAAAACCCATCCGGGAGAACACTCACATCAGGGCTTCGGCCACTGTCTCTGCCTGAATATTACTCATGGCGACTGCCTGGGGGTAACGAGTTGCATAGTCCACAATGGTCAGAATATACTTCTTCCCAGAAGGACTAGGCTTAGCCAGGGGGCCTATGATATCGACAGCTACTCTGTTGAAGGGGTCTTTAATGATGGGCAGGGATGCTCTATCCCCACAAGAGAGTAAAATCATAGAGTACATCAGAGATCCCTTAAGTAAGGGTCATATAAGCAAATCATCTCTTGCTGCTGCAGGTTTCTTTTTCGTGTCTAAAAAGGATGGAGAATTACGTCCTTGCACAGACTATATGGCTTTAAACAAAATCACCTTAAAAAAATGCCTATCCCATTCCTCTTTTCTTTGGTTAGGATTAAGAATGATCATGAGTGGAAAATGGCATTCAATACTAGAATTGGCCACTATGAATATCTTTTTATGTCCTTTGGGTTATGCAATGCCCCGGCCGTATTTTAACTATGTGATGATATTCTCGTTTATTCCCCCAACCTCCAGACCCATCATGATCATGGTAAACAAATACTACAAACTTTGCTCAAGAATGGTCTTTATTGTAAACTTTAAAAAAATGCATGTTTGATCAACTTGAAGTACAGTTTTTGGGATATAACTGAGGCAAACTAGAGGCTGTTCTAGATTGGCCATTACCCAACTGGTTAAAGGCCATTCAAAGGCTCAAGGAATGGCGACATCTTTTGCAGGGTTCCAAAGACCCCCCTACTAATCATAACCGATCAGAAGAATCTGGCCTATATTGATGATGCCAAACATCTGTCTTCTAGACAGACTTGATGGTCTCTGTTCTTGGGCAGCAACGGTTCCTCCGGTCTTGTCCTTCTCTGTGACATAAGGGTCAATGTGGTAGACCCTAGACTGGGCGTCCGTTCATCAGGACCGGTTGCCGGTGATGGTCCTGGTTATCTGTGCCGGCTTGTATAGGGTTTGCCTCATGAAGGGGGCGGCAGGCTTCCTCGTTGGGGTTAGGGGAGTAGGTGGGATCTGCCTGATAGTGGGCAACGGCTTGTGGTGTAGGAGGGAGCCCTGGACAGATCCATAAGGACCAGTCCCTCAGCTGGGTGCTCTCCCTCTTGTAGTGGCCCCATTGGGAACACTGGTGGCACTAGGTGGTTGTATGGTTGGGTGTCCTCTGAGGTGGTGCTGGAGCTGGTGAACCTCTGCAGTGGGGGGCGGCAGGTGAGGTAAACTGGGGTGCCACGTGTACGGGGGGTCAGGAGATTGGAGTCACCTGGTATCCGCATACTCATCAGCTTTTTGGGCTGCTTTGGTCAGGGTCTTAGGCTGTTGGTCCCTTAACTAGTACTGTATTGTGGTGGGTAGTCCATTGAGGAAATGTTCAAACAGGAACAGCTGGAGGACTTTCTCTGGGACTGTTGGGATTGCATCCAGCTTAGGGCTGCATTGCTCAGTGGGCAAGCCCATTCAGCGTTTAAATCCTGGGACCCCTTTAATTCCTGGAATTTTCAGCGATATGCCTCTGGGGTGATGGCATACCTCATCAGCAGGACCTGCTTTATAGTGGCATAGTTCCCGGTAAGCATCTGCAGCTTTCCCTGTGGGTTTCCCTGCCAGAATGGGAACCTAGTCTGCTGGGGCAATTTCATGTAGCAGGCAGAGGCGCTCAAAGTCCTGCAAAAAGTCATCCATACCCTCTTCAGCTTCCGCAAACATCTTGAAGGCTTGGTAGGGTAGTTTGGGCTTGGGTTCTGGGGTGGCCGGACCACCCGGGGACACTTCCTCAGCCCGCTGTTCAAGCAGGGGTGTGGGGTTTGCCCAAACCACTGCTAATTCCCTTCCTTCAGCTGGTCAGCAACCACTTAAACTGCAACAAGACCAATATTCCCCCAGTAGCTGGATAAGACCTAGTTTTGGAGGTACAACACAATTTTATTGGCCACACACTGCTTTTATGCAGATCCTGCACAAGGGTGGATCACACACCTATAAAAATATCCCACAATCCTCCCCCTTCCCAAGGTCCCACCTTGGGAAGGGACTCCGTTCTCTTTGTCCCCAAAGCCCACCACTTAATCTCTGGGATTCCCCACACCAACCGCCAGGGGTCTTCTTCCCAAGAGCCTCTGTACCTGCTTTGTCTCCCAGGCACAGAAAAGCCCGCCTGCGGGAAAAGAGCGGGATGAGAGCCTGCCAAAACTCGCTAGTGCCCCAGAAGTGCCCACACCAATCTCAGGGACCCTCACTTCGGTCCCTCAACCGGCTAGTCTCTGCTCGCAAGGTCCTTGTGGGAAAACGAGACAAGGGAAGTGTCTCCTTTCGGAATGCTCCCCCTGGATGGCGTTCTTATATATACGAAATGGCGGCAACCGAGTGGAGCACTCCTTAATTACTTCCCTTGTGGTTTCACACTCTGGTTGCAAGTGAGAATGTTCTAATTAATTGGTGCGAACATCTAATGAGGCACTGGGGAGGTCCTCGTTCGTACAGACTAACAAGTCAGTACACAATCCACAAATGTTCCCCCCCCCGGCTGGCATTCCTCTGTACAAATGGCGGTTTCCCAGAGGAGTGCTCATTAATTGTTTCCATTAATTGAAAGGTCAAAATGATCTGCTGAAACTGTTAGCTATCCAGAATGAATTACTTAGAAAGTAGGCGACACACGTGTGTGTATGTGTGTGTGTGTGTGTGTGTGTGTGTGTGTGTGTGTATATATATATATATATATACTTATAATTTACATGTGTGTCTATAATAAATAAATAAATGTAGACTGGATTATCCTTATTTCCAGTAGACAAGATGACAATTTTTTGTTTTATTGCCAAAAATACTTAATACTGCACATAATGCTTAAAAACATACTTTAAAGAGTTTTCCTTTATCATATTGATCAGTATTGCTTCAGACCTGAGGAAGAGAGGAATATACACAGCTCATGTTATACGTTATACATTATACATGTTGCACTTTTATGCGAGGGAGTGCAAATATAAGGTATACAGACACCAACCAATATTTATAAATTACTCAAATACTGTCATTGACCAGCTATTAATTTGTTTGTCAAAGATTAGGTGATGGAGACTTTTTATTTGAACGTGTGACCAATAAATCTAATTTATAACATACAATCAAGCTATTGGGTACACAAGATATTGTAACAAAGTCCAGCAAGATGAAGTCAGTAGTAGGCAATGCGTTCATGGTGATGACTACTTTAAAAATACTTTTGGTGGTCTATTTCTTTTTTGGAGCTTAAGTGGGTTGGTGGGGAGTGACATGTGCCAGGAGCCTGGGCCAGTGTCCTTTGTAGTCAACTCTCTATGCTTTATAGCTGACCTGCAGGATAAGTTATAGAGGATGTCTAATACAGTTCTGCCCCAGCTCTTCCAGTGTCTTGGTTTGCGGCTTGACAGGAAGTGTAAGGAATTAATATCCATCTTCTCTTTAACAGCCTCTCACTGCAGGAAATGCCTTGTGGGAAGAGAAGGGACAGCATTGAGATATAAACTCTACTATCAGATATAGGAGAATGTGTGTATTGCAAATAATCCTTTAAACTCCATTTTGATATATTCCATAAGATTAAAGGAATATAATTTTCAATTTGTGGGGTAACAGCTTTTTGATCCAAGGAGAGATCTCATTGACATTCTGCAATTTTCCCTTGTCTTTGCAAAATTGGAAAGACCATCAAAGTTTCTTTGTGCCCCCAGCTCTCCTGTGCCTTTCAATGTTCCCCCTCTCCTCCTGTATCTTTTCATTGTCCCACCTCCCTCCTGTACCTTTCCTTTACTCCAGCGGCATTGTGTGCCTCTTTGTCCCCCCTCAGCCCCACTGAGTTTCTCTTTGTGCCCACCAGCTCTCCTGTGCCTTTCAATGTTTCCCCTCTCCTCCTGTACCTTTCATTGTCCCACCTCCATCCTGTACCTTTTCAGAGTCCCCCCCTCACCTCTTGTATCATTTATTGTCCCCCGCCCCTCCTGAACCTTTCATAGTCCCCCTTCCGCCTCCCATCCTATACCTTATGTATCTTTTATTGTGTCTCCCTCCTGTACATTTTATTGTGCCCCCAGCCCAAATGTGCCTTTTTATTGTCGCCTCTCCTATACCTTTCATTGTGCCCCTCTCACCTCCTTCCATGTACCTTAGCATAGCTGGTGGACCACAGTGGAGGATCCTGTTTCCTGTCCTGTTTGGCAGGAAGCAATTTGTTGCATTTCCTGTCAGACTGGGTAGGTCACATTCCCCCCTCTCTGCCATGCTACATGCAGTTACTGGCAAGAGGGGAGCTCTAATCCTGACGGTCACCAGGAGATCGCACCCACCCAGGAAAGTACTCCCACCATATGGTAGCACCAGCCCTGCACATTCATTCTATATACATAACTCCCTTATAAATATGGCAATCCCATGTAAGAATAGCAAATAAGGGAGTTATCTACTAAAAGCTAAAATATCAACATTAAGAAAAGCCCTGTCATTAATGTGTTCCAACATCTGAGCTAAGAATTGATGGTAAAACAACAAAAATAATTGAAAAGTTCATACAGGGGTAGTGTTTTTGTAGATACAAATGTTGAAACAGGAAGGGAGAAGGGATCGGAGGCAGATAAATTTTATTACCTCAAAATCCAAACGTTCCCAAGGCTAGGAAGCAACCCAAAGATCAGTAACTAATAAAGCATAACCTTTAATAAATATAATATAAATAGATTTGTAGAGTATACAACTCGTAATTGATCATAAAATGCTAGCCAACTCCAGGCTAACACCACCATCCAATAATGAGGAAAAGGAAAAGAAAAACCAAATAATCAAATAGAATACAAATAAATAAAACAAAGACCAAGCAAGCCGAAGCAGAGAGTAACAGTATACTGCTACAGTGGATAAATTAAATTAAACAAAGATACTAACAACTAGTGGAAACAAATGTAACAAAAGTATGAATAAATATGTATCTATAAGAGATAAACTCCTAAGAAATAGAGCACATCGAGGAAAGAAAGGTAAATCGTGATCAGGGGAAGGGGTAACCTGTAGTTCCATAACTTAACTTCATGGACACCCCTTGAAAAAATCTAAACCCTACCCACTTCCCCCATACCCACATAGTTGACTGATAGTAAAAGAAAATTTAAGTCAATGAAAATAAAGGTGTGATAAAACCATAGAGTAGTGGCTATATCTATAAAATCAAAATAAGCTGCAGCATCATCCCTAATCTATCCGCCAACTAGTACACTATTATTATTATTATTATTATTATTATTATTATTATTCAGAAATATGTCAGATATCTTATCTCTCGCAAATGACATGCTAAGCGATATAGTAATGTTTATTGGCAGATGCAATTTTAAATTTAACACTTGTTTTACTGAAGGGAGGTATGAAAATAAAATATGTACTGCCGCTGTTTCTGAGGAATGTAATAAGTAAGTTATACCAGTGCAATGTACTGTTTCTTGTTGTATGCATTTGTCCCATATTTTCTGCCGTTTGCAGAAAGCTTAAATTCCAATGAAATCTAGGCCAATATGCTAAAAATGTCATTAAAATTGTACTGCATAAAATGCAGATATCATATGGTAGTTTAATATTTTTGCCCTTGTGAACTGAGAATAGTTAACATGAAGAAATTTTTTTTATGGCAAACCAATTAATTCAAAACTAAAATATTTTTCAGGTAGGATGAATTTTGTCTGTGTAATGGCTTGTCTGAAAAAAATCTGGATGATAACCATGACAATGCGCAATGTCTGTGGTAATTAATTTTTAGTTCATCAAGTCACTTAAAGGAACACTATAGGGTCAGGTACACAAACATGTATTCCTGACCCTATATTGTTAAAACCACTGTGGTGGAACCAACCTCGCCACTATGCACTGGAGAAGCCTGGTTGCCCGCCTGCTCCCTTTAGACTATGGCCCTGCAGTTCAGACCTGTTCTCCCTGCTGAAAGGTTTATTCGTGCTTTTCTGCCAGGGTGTTCGGTAGATTCAATCTACCGAATGATGGACCACCTGGGAACTGGAGTGTGCCATCAATTGACCGCCCAGAAGCTGTGGTTAACCGCAGCTTAATTGATGAACGCTGGGTGGCCTTTGTTCGGTTGCCGAACACGTGGCAGGGGCCATTTTACCTCCCAAACGGCCAGCGGTGTTCAGCGCCCAAACTATGGAACTGAAAAATGGACACTTATTGGCGCGAACACCGCTGAGCCGCCAGCCTCCTTACCTCTCCATTCGGTAGCGGAACCGAATAACTGTTCATTCGGTAGTTTAACTGGATGAATAGCCTCACCCCAGATAGCTAAGCCATGGAGCCTATTCGTGTAATGAAAAACTATGGAAAAGACTTTGGCTCCATGGTGATTGAAATGTATGTATTTGATCTGAGCGCCATTCGGTAGTAATGTGCGCTCAGATCTAAGCTATCTGGGGATATGTAGAATGTATGTTTTATGTAATAAATTTAACTGTATGTACATTTCTCAGTATGTACCGTTGGGAAATAAATATAAAAAACAAATTAAAACCAATGTGGCTTAGTAGAGAAGTAAAACAAGAGATTACAACTAAGAAAAGGGCATTTAAAGCATTTAAATCAGACAAATCAGATGCATCTTATAAAAGATATAAGGATGCAAATAATGCGTGCAAAAAGGCAATTAGACTTGCTAAACTTCAAAATGAAATAATGATAGCTGAAGAGAGCAAAACCAACCCCAAAGCATTTTTTAAGTACATAAATTCTAAAAAAAACCAAAATGAAAGTGTAGGTACACTAAAAACTGAAACGGGGGTGTTAGTTAATGAAGACCAGGAAAAGGCAGGAATTTTAAATAACTATTTCTCCTCCGTATATATTAAGGAAGAACCCATGGCAATAGATGTGCAAATGATTGCTACTAAAAACTTGCAGAATAATTGTAATTGGTTAACTCAAGACAAGGTGCTGCAGCAACTAAAGAAAGTTAATATAAACAAAGCTCCAGGGCCTGACGGTATCCATCCACGTGTACTTAAGGAACTAAGTGCAGAAATAAGTGAACCTCTGTTTTTAATCTTTCAAGATTCTATTCTTTCAGGAAGTGTTCCGGAGGATTGGAGGAAGGCAGATGTGGTTCCTATATTCAAAAAGGTTCAAAATCCTTGCCTGGAAATTATAGACCTGTGAGCTTAACTTCTGTGGCTGGTAAAATATTTGAAAGGTTATTAAGGGATAATATTCAAGAATTCCTTGAGAAGAACATGGTTATCAGCAAAAATCAGCATGGTTTTATGAAGCACAGGTCATGTCAAACTAACTTGATTGCGTTCTACGAAGAAGTAAGTAGAAGTATAGATCAGGGTGTTGCCGTGGATGTGATCTATTTGGATTTTGCCAAGGCATTTGATAAAGTTCCACACAATAGATTAGTGTTCAAACTAAAGGAAATCGGTCTAGATGAAAATGCTTGTTCTTGGTTAGAACATTGGCTTAAAAACAGAGTACAAAGAGTTGTCATTAATGGTAAACTTTCAATCTGGACAGAGATGGCAAGTGGTGTCCCTCAGGGGTCTGTTCTGGGACCCCTGCTATTTAACATGTTTATAAATGATCTTGAAGACCGCATTGAAAGTCATGTTTCAGTGTTTGCAGATGACACCAAACTTTGTAAAACAATACAATGTGAGCAAGATATTACTTTGCTGCAGAGGGATTTAGATAGACTGGGGGACTGGGCACTCAAATGGCAGATGAAATTTAATGTTGAAAAATGCAAAGTTATGCACTTCGGCGTAAAGAATACACAAGCAACGTATACCCTTAATGGAAGTGAATTAGGGATAACAACACATGAAAAGGACTAGGGAATTGTTATAGACAACAAACTATGCAACAATGTGCAATGTCAATCAGCAGTGGCCAAGGCCAGTAAGGTATTGTCATGCATGAAAAAGGGCATTCATTCTCGGGACAAGAATATAATTTTGCCTCTTTATAAATCACTGGTAAGACCCCATATTGATAATGCTGTGCAATTTTGGGCACCTGTTAATAATCTTTCAATGTAGGGTAATAACTGCTTGATCCAAGGATAAATCTGACTGCCATTCTGGGGTCAAGAAGGAAGTTTTTTCCTAGCTTGTTCAAACTGGTTTTTTTTGCCTTCTTTTGGATCAACCGCAAAAAACAAATGTGAGGTAGGCTGAACTTGATGGACGCAAGTCTATTTTCAGCTATGTAACTATGTAACTATATGTATGTAATTTTATGTCTTTTACTGAAAATGTGTGTAATGGAGTTTTGCCTCTGTCCTTGGAGATAATTGGATTGCATTGTGGGATTGTTGAAATGTGTAAGATTGTTGTACCCTTTGTGTCCCAGTCTCCCATCTGGTCCCCTAGGGGAGTGTCCACCTGGTGGGAGACCTGCATAAAAGCCGGGAAGTTATCCCCAGTAAACGAGATTCTGCTTGACCCTCAAAACGAAGCGTCGTCTCGTCTTTGGGGGGATTTACTGTATGCTGTTAGAGACTGATTGCCAGGAGTGTAAGCCGTTTTGGTTGATTTTCCTGTTCGTCTGCTAACCGCTATTGGTGTGTCTCCAGTTCGGGAGTTTGGAGTGCTACTTGGTATGCAGTTCGGGAGTTTGGAGTATTCCCTTGGTTGCAGTTCGGGAGTTGGTGAATTCATGGGTTTGCAGTTCGGGAGATTGGTGCTTGCAGTAGCTGTCTGTGCATCTGAAAAAGGGGAATATCGCCTAAACCGTTTTTAACCCCCTTGTGGGCAAAAACGGTCCGTTACAACCACCATTATTTTTGTGCCCTCCCCACCCCCTCTTAACCCTCTTAAAGGGTAATACAACTTACCTTATTCGCGTAGGGTTTACATGAAGAAAATGCCTGCAGGGAATGATTATACTCACCAGAACAAATACATTAAGCTCTAGTTGTTCTGGTGACTATAGTGTTCCATTAAATGTCAAGGAATTGTTAACTATGACAAACCAGTATCTCATACGTTGTAAATAGGTTAAATAAAGGCTATATTTTAGAAAATTATTTGTAAGCAGAGAATATAGATAGAGGTAAAGAAAATAGTAAAATACATTTCCTTTTTTCAGTTTGTTTTGAAATTGTTAACCATATATCTTTAACGAGAGATTTTTCAGTCTTACCCAATATACAATATCCATCATTCTTTATTTGTAAATTCACCCGAAGAAGTTTACACTATAGAACTCTGAAAATGAGAAACAACAAAAATAATACAGGCATGCACAGCATCTCCCTAAGGATGTAATAGTAGTTTTAGGGGAATTTTATATTATTTAGATTAGTCAGATTTTTTCATTTGTTAATTCTTTCTTCCCCTTCTCAGATTTCTGAAATATCTTGTCAATGGTGTTTG